ACATACAAACACACACATACACACACAAACACACACACACTCACACATACATAAACATACACATACAAACACACACTCACACACACTGAATTTAGTTTAAAAATTGAAAATTTTTTGAACAGGGTCTGGAGAGATGGGTGAGCTATTAGCCCTAGGTTCAGTTCCCACCAGCTCTACACCCAGCTCACAACTATCCACAACTCTATTTCCAGGGGTCAGATGCCCTCGTCCCACCTCCATGATTATCAGGCACACACAGAGTTCACATACACGCAGACAAAACATTCAAACTCATAAAAATAAAATAAATCTTTACAAATAAAAAATGATAAACAGGGACTGGAGAGATGGCTCAGTGGTTAAGAGCACTGGCTGCTCTTCCGGAGGACCCAGGTTCAATTCCCACCACCCACATGGCAGCTCACAGCTGTCTGTAACTCCAGTTCCAGGTAATCTGGCACCTTTACACAGGCATACATGCAGGCAAAACACCAATGTATGTAAAACAATAATAAATAAATTATACTTTAAAAAAGATAAGCAAATAGGAGCTTTGTAGAGGTGGGAATTTTTATCTTGTTCCCAGCACCGAGAACAGCGCCCTGCACAGAAAGCCTTGATGAATGGCTGTTGAGAACAGCATCCATGCAGATACATCAGTGTGTGGACGAGTGGAAGTATGAAGTGCTAGCAGATGCTCAGCAGACACCAGGCTTTCTTCCCTGAGAATCATCCCAATTAGTCGAGCATTGCTGAGCTGGTCCTTGACACCACCCTGTGCAATGACTTGAAGGGTAATGGAAACAGGGGAAGCAGATGAGATGCTTAGGAGACACAGCAGGACCAGAAGGAGAGGGCCTGGTGTCGCAAGGCTTCTTGGGACTTTCTTGTTGTTTTTACCACCTGGCTCTTTGGGCAAATGGGGACATGTTAGGACGCTCGGGACAGTTCTGTTAGCGTCTTGGGGGCTTCCTTCCTTCCTTCTTTTCTTTCCTTTCTTTCTTTCTTTCTTTCTTTCTTTCTTTCTTTCTTTCTTTCTTTCTCCTTTTTCTTTTCTTTTTTTTTTGTTTTGTTTTTGTTTTCCAAAACAGGTTTCTCTGTGTAGCTCTGGCTGTCCTGGAACTCACTCTGTAGACTGGGCTGGCCTGGAACTCACAGAGCTATGCCTGCCTCTGTTTCCCAAGTGCTGGGATCAAAGGCACGTGCCACCATTACCTGGCTTCCATTATATTCATTAGTATCAGGATTTCCTTCCTCTGCTGGAGGAGAAATGAGACTAGATTTACAAACTCCAGACTAATTTTGGATCCTAAAGATTATGTCCCTGGGCTAAAGGCACCCTCGCTCTAGACCTTGGATGTATAGAAGCATCATCTTAGAGACCCTCAGGGGTATGTGATCCCCAGAGGAGGGGGTCCACATACAATCATGGGGTCGTTTCTCATACCTTGTCCTTCTTTCCTGCAGGTACAAGACAGTGGTGACTCAGCGGCGGGCAGCAGTGGCCATAGCTGGCTGCTGGATTCTCTCCCTTGTGGTAGGCCTGACACCCATGTTTGGTTGGAACAACCTGAGTGTGGTGGAGCAAGAATGGATAGCCAATGGCAGTGTTGGGGAGCCCGTGATCAAGTGTGAGTTTGAGAAGGTTATCAGCATGGAGTATATGGTCTACTTCAACTTCTTCGTCTGGGTGCTGCCACCACTTCTGCTCATGGTTCTCATCTACCTGGAGGTCTTCTACCTGATCCGAAAGCAGCTCAACAAAAAGGTGTCAGCTTCCTCTGGTGACCCCCAGAAGTACTACGGGAAGGAGCTCAAGATTGCCAAGTCGCTGGCCCTCATCCTCTTCCTCTTTGCCCTCAGCTGGCTGCCACTGCACATCTTGAACTGTATCACCCTCTTCTGCCCGACCTGTGAGAAACCCAGCATCCTGATCTACATTGCCATCTTCCTCACACACGGCAACTCGGCCATGAACCCCATCGTCTATGCCTTCCGAATCCACAAGTTTCGGGTCACCTTCCTGAAGATTTGGAATGACCACTTCAGATGCCAGCCCAAGCCTCCCATTGATGAAGACCTCCCAGAGGAGAAAGCTGATGACTAGACTCTGCCTTGCTCTGTCTAGCCCACACCCAGTGGCTCTCTGTTTAACCCTCATGTCCTCCCTGTCCCCCCTGTCCCACTGTTCCTCCTCAGCTTTCCCAGCTGGGATATGGGCTGTGGACACCAGGGAGGCTCTGAAGAGATACCGTGGAATAGGGCTCCTTCTATAAGAAGCTAGCTGCCCTGTACTTTGGGGACCTGGAGGAGGCTTGGAGGTGGGGTGGGCTATGGCAGGGAACTGGGTACCCTGAGGTGAGAAGAGAGTCTTGTGTGCCCCATTCAAGGCTGCTCTCTGAGCCAGGGTTAGAATATTCTGGCTCCTACAGTCAGACAGGGGAGCCTGCTATTAGGTGTTGGTGGTCCAAGGGACCAACTTCAAGGAGAGAAAGACAGTCCCTTAGAGGTGGATAGACAGAGAAATGGATATGTCCCGGCTTTGCTGTCTCTCCTGTTCTATAGGAGAAGATAGTAAACCACAGGAAGGAGACCTCAGCCCCTCCTCCAAGGATTGTGCCACTCAGGTCCTGACCCCGAGAAGCCCGAGGTTGTACTTGGGAGAGGCAGAGAGAATGGGTCTAGGGATTGTCTCTCACATTTGCTTTTTTTACAGCCTGGGACTCCCAGTGGGCCGCAGGGTCCTCGGGGATAAAAATAGTGCAGAAGGTGCTTGTCTCAAGTAGCCAGCAGGGAGCAGCACTGAGCCCTTCTTGCCCTGAACTTCCTGGGAGTCTCCAATGTAATTTTCTGTTGGGGCCACCAAGATTCAACAACTCTCAGAGCAGGCTTGGACTCTCCTGAGGGACAGCATCTCTGCATCTAAGCCCCGGGAGAAGAGATTCCCCAGGAAGGACAACCCTTGGGAGCATGCTGCCTGAGGGAGGGAGGAGGGGGAGGAAGGCATCCAAGAAGATCCCAGGCCAACCATGGGCACCCCTGTTGTGAAGTGTGAAAAGCCAGAGCAGACCAAAGGAGACTGCTGTCTTCAGTATGAGGAAGTGCCTTGCTGGCATTTAAATATCCAAAACGTCCCTGGAGGTGGATTTAGCTCAGAAGCTGTGTTACAAATAGAGTGTAGGCTTTGGGGTGAGGGGGTCTCAGGTAGACCAAATTTTACTCTGCTGAGCCTGGATGTCTTCCTTGTATGGACAGCAGGCAGAAGAGGGTGTCAGGTTCCCTCTTCCTTGGAGTGTGAATATTGACTCTAAGTCTTGATTCCAGGCTCTTCCTTCAGTTGGAGGTAAGGTGTCCCTGGCTCTCAAGGAGGCCCCTATGTCTAATAAAAGATTGTGAAACCCTGTGGAGAGTGGGGTGCTGGCACCCCAGCACTGTCAGAGGGCAACCAGACCACCTCAACGAAGAAGATGTAATGGTGGGGGAAGGGGAGAAGCTGGGAGATGGGTGTGGAGACAGATGGAACAAGGAAAGTTCCAGAGATGGTGGGTCTGTTGCTATAGTTACAGATTTAGGGTGGCACATTGTGAATCAGAAAGCAAGAGCCAGAACACTCACATGTCTAAAAAAAATGCCCTGTGTCATCTTGAGACCCTTCCTGTCCTTCCTGTTGGCACGGTCCTAATCTTGATAGTGTCTCCCCTTCATAGTAACATAGTATCTTCCCGTCCGCCATGACACTCGCTGCCACAGAAACCCCATGTTATAACACCACACACCTTTATTTGAATGCTTCTCACACAGTGTACACCTCTGCAGACGGTACCAGTTGCTACACATTTGGGGCCCTCTTGTACCCAGAAGGTATGACCTGGGGCCTGCCAGGCCCACTCCTAGGTCTAGTCCCAGCCTCTGGTGGAGGGAGCCTGCAGGTATTAGAGGTCCACCCCCATTAGCTTTTCCTATGGTATCTTGGTCTTGGGGCTCCATGGGGCCCTGATCCTTAGATCTGCAGGTCTTGGTGGAGAATGTCCTTCCACATCCTGGTATGTGACCAAGCTGCTAGAAGAGAAGGTGGGGTGTCGGGTAGAGAACCACCTCCACCCTTCTCGGTCCTTCCTCAGGCTCAATTCCCAATGCTGAGCTCTGCCCAGTGCAGCTCTGGAGACTTCCTAGTTCACCCAGAGCCTCAGAACCACCAAATGAGGAAGGCGGGGCAAGGGCTGGGTCCCTACTTTTCTAGTGAGGAAAAAGAATGCCGATGTTTACAGTCATTCAGAGCCAAGACTAGATGCTGTACTGTGACTACCCAGTGTACCCTTCCCTTCTGGACATCACCAGCATGGCCCAGCGCTGCACTGTCTTTACCAAACTGAACATGCATGCTAATTGTCTTTTGCTACAGAATTGTACCCATATCTGCCTTAGCCTTCCTGCCCTCCCCTCCCCATCTCCAGTGACATTTTGTGTCTGGGACGTGGGTTCTCTTCTCCCAGTCTTCTCTTTGACACCACGCTCTCAGTAGAGGTAACTGAAGGAGTGGGTCCAGCCACCCACTCACCTGTCTCCTCGTCCAAGTCTCTGCCTCCGTTGCTCTTCAGTGTGTGGCAGAAGCTGAAAGAGACCCTACAGGTTAGAGCTTTGGGGGAAGACAGGAGGGAACGGGGAGGTTTGAACAGAGAGGTCAACAATCCCCAGCACCCCAGTCCCCAAATAGAACATCTTCCCACTTAGAAAGTCACACAAGCAGTTCTTGACTCCTCCCCACCCCTTGTTCCTGCTCCAGTTTCATTCTGAGACACATCTAGTCCAGCTCTAAAGAGGGACTCAAGCTTTCCACTGCGGTAGGGTGCTAAGGGCAACCTTCTGACTCCCACCTTTAACCTCCAACCGACAATCCACAGAGGCCTCCCCCAGCACGTTGATGGCCTTGCAAGTGTAGACCCCAGAATCAAAGGGGCTGGGCTTCCGGATCTCCAGGGTGCAGACCCCTTGCTCAGAGACAGCACGGTACTTGGGGTCACCCTGGATGTCCATCTTGTTTTTCATCCAGATGATCTTGGGCTGGAAGCAAGGTCACATGAGAGTAATGAAATAAGGACATGGTTGGGATAGCTCTCAAGAGAGTTTCAACCCTGCTGCCTCTACCCACCCCACCAGCCCAGGGCCTCTGACCTTAGGTGATGCCCGGACGCTGCAGAATAGCTGTGTGCTATAGCCAGGAGTGGAGGTGTGGTCAGCCAGGGGCTGGGTGAATGAGGGCGCCTCTGAGAAGTCTCGCTCAATAAACTCTCTAGGTTTGGCAGTAATATCTAGGTTCAGGGGAGAATTTGAGGTTATAGGAGTGCAGGAGGCTTCGGAAGATGCCTCAACCCTAAACTTTGGGACACTCAACCTGGTCAACATGTGAAGATATCAGAGAAAGCCTAGCTGAGCAGGGCTGAGGCTGATCAGGAGGTGAATGGAGAAGAGTGGGTGGGAAAACCTGAGCCACAGAAGATTGTGGCAAGAGGAGAACGTGACATTCCATTTCTGTCTGCCTCTGCGACCTGAGTGGCTTTCCTTTTTAAACACAAAACGCTCATGGCTGTGATGCTCTGGCTGATGTTAAAGAGTGAGGCTTCTAGGGTGCGTGAGATGGCTCAGCGGGTGAGGGTGCTTGCCACCCCGAGTTCAGTCCCTGGGACCCACATGGTAGAAGGAGAGAACTGACATGTTGTCCTTAGACTCACACATGCACGTGAGCATGTGAACACACACTCACACACCAATAAATGTAATTAAAATGAATAGTAATGAAATGTGACTTCCAGGGTCGGCGTGTGTGTGTGTCTGTGTGTGTCTGTGTGTGTGTGTCTGTGTGTGTGTGTCTGTGTGTCTGTGTGTGTGTCTGTGTGTGTGTCTGTGTGTGTGTCTGTGTGTGTGTGTCTGTATCTGTGTGTGTGTGTGTGTATATCTCTGTGTGTGTGTGTGTGTGTGTGTGTGTTGCCGAGAAGATCTGGGATAGACAGGGGTCCTGGAGTTTCACATTTGACAGATGCTCAATGGGATGGTAAATACAGCAGCCAGCCTTGTGTGGGTGATTGTTTTTAGCAATTGCCAGTCTACCTGTCATGTACACATTACTCTGCAGTGTGTGCCTGGGGACACTGTGTGGGAGACCCAGTGACTACTGTGATGCTAGCAGCCACTGTCTAAGTACACTAAGTACACAGCCTCCTGAGGGGCACTGCTCATTTGCATGGCTTTTCTCTGATGTTTGTGCTAAAATCAGCCAGTCATACCGGTTATTTACAGTCATTCCACGTCAGAGTGTGTATGCACTTGCACATACGCTCATGCAGAGCGGCTGAGTGGGGGTAGGGTGGGGGTGGAAGGCAGCAAATGTTCTGGGGAGCAGTGGCTGAGGAGAAGCTGAGAGGGATGTGGGACAGGGAAGAAGAAGTGGACAGATGTTGGTTCACCAATCCCGATTCGGTTTTCTGCCCAGACTCAAACCCACTTACCTGCCTTGTGGATGTGAGCCAGCTCCTTGGTGGTGGTGGCTAAGTCACTGAGGCCACACAGGTTTTCTGAGAAGACCCGAAAAGAGTACGAGTTGCCGATGATGAGGTCTGAGATGGTGCAGGTGGTGGGGTGGTAGCGCTCCAATACTGTGAACCATTGCTGCAGGGAGCTTGGCTGGGTTACCCTCAGCTCTTACCCGGTTCTTGCCTCTCCTGCTTATCCTAATCCTCCTCAGAGGGGCTCATTCCAAGTCCCAGCTTTGGAAGGCTAAACCATCCAACACTGGGACTGAGGGACTTAGAAGTGGGAGGAGGACCTCCTAGGTCACTCTCATGAGCTCGCAAGCCTCACTGCTCAGGGTGTGGCTGGCAGACACGCAGCCTCATTACCTGGGCAATATTTAGTTGTGTGGCTTCCCAACACCCAGCCGCAACCACCTGCATCAGAATCTACATTTAGCAGATTCCCAGATGATTGATATGCATGATAAGATAGTTCTATAGCAGCCTAATGCAGTGTACCACACAGACTGAGGTGTAGAGCGGGTAGAGGCTTGCCCAGGGCCACAGAGGGAGTCAGTCAGCAGTAGTTGTCTTGGTCTTTCATCCAAAGCCTCTTAGCATGATGGACCTTTTGGGCCTGACTACATCTTTCCCTGCCCCAGTTAGGCCCCAGTGAGACTCACCCCTGTCTTTTTGTCTGCCTTCTGTACTGTGTACCCCAGGAGCTCTGTGTTGCCTGTGTCCTGGGGTGGCGTCCACTCGACGGCAGCATTGCAACCCCAGACATCCAGTAATTTGATGCTGCTCGGGGGCCCAGGCTTCTCTGCAGAACCAGATTATAAAGGCCAGTGAGGAGAAGCAGGACTGCTGCAAAGTCTCCACACCCAAGATTTGGCGCTTGCTGTGGTACCCTAGCCTTCCCTCACCCCCACAGGTCTGGGATGGGAGTTTGGTGACAATGGTTTTAAGACAGCCATTTGCCCTCTGCCCATGTACCAATCACCAGGATGTCAATGTTAGCCTTGGCTTCCAAGCCTTCCAGATGCACGGTGAGCTCATAGCAGCCCGAGTCTGAGCGCTGAGCTGAGCGGATGAACAGGATGGAGTCCTGGTCCCCGCTGCGCACATTAACTCTCTTGCTGTCCAGGGCATGGCCATTGTGGGTCCAAGAGGCCTGCGGCTTGGGCTTCCCCTAACAAAGATGGGCTTGGGGTGAGTACAGATTGGTATAAGCACCCCACTTACCCACTATACCTGTGCCTGAGAAACCTGCCCTACTGGCTCCACCATTGCTGGCCAGTCATGTCCTCTAGTGTGTGACCTGCCCTGGGGGCTGCCTAACTGTCTACTCATAGCTGAGTTATATGCAAAACTAGGAAGAGGCAGCCATCTGTATGGGTCACCACTGACTCCTGCGAGAATCCCAGGTCTCCCCCCAATACACCAGGCTCTTACCAGTGAGCTTGCCTACCTGGAAGGGGATTTGCAGGTTGATTGACTCTCCCACCCGGCGGATGTAGGTCTGACGAAGGTGTCGGGGAACACGGATCTTGGGGGCTTCTGAGGCAGGAGAAAGAGAAAACAAGAGTGAGTTCCTGGCTAGACAGGACAGCTCTCAGCTGTGACGTTCCTATAGCTGAACTGCCTCTTTACTGGGAGGACAAAGCCTTCAATTCTGAGATGGAGGAACCCAAAACCCTTAAGGCCCTTGGGGAGCTGAGAACTGAGAGGCTCCAGAGAGGTCAGGGACTGTACAGTGTGAACTGGTTGGTATCTCTGGCACTCCCTTGGCACCTCAACCTTGCCAGGCAGGGATTTGCCCTGAGGTCCAGGCATTCTCAGGCTCCAGATGGGCCTGGGTGGCTCTCTGTCTCCCCCTAGAGGGAGGCAGGTTCTGCACCTGTCAGCCAGTGTGCCTAGAGAAGGAAGCAGTGTGCTCAATTCCTGCTGACTCAGCGCTCCAGGAGCCCAGGACTTTCTGAGGAAGTGAAGCCTCACTGATTCAAGCCTCAGCCTCCAGGCCTGCTGAGAGGCTCTGACTCTCTGTACAGAAGCTAAGCAGATACACAAACTTCTTCTGCTCTTGGGCCTTTCAGTCCGCACAGCATCACGGGGGCCGAGTCTTGTGTCAGTCCCCTACTCTGGTAGGGAGGCCATTCCTGACTATGGCCTAATCAGGTGCCACTGAACATTCCAAGGGAAGCTGCAGCAGCTGCCATTCTTGTCCCTGGGGGATGGTGTGGGGACTGAGCCCGAGCCTCCTAAGCAGCAAACAGGTGGCAACAGTTGGTTAGTGGCATGTTGGGGGACAGAGTAAGAAAGAACACTGTGTCTCCAAGGATTAGCTGAGCAGGCACTTGGCTCCGGAGCAGGAGCATCATGGTTTGGAATGCTCCAGGGACAGCTCCAGGAGACCAGGAATGCCTGGCAGCTCCAGGTGGCCAAGAAGGGGACAGCTGAGCAGCCCCGGATCCTGGACAAGGCCTCTGCTCTCCCCTGCCCAGCCCATGAGAGGTCCGGCTGTTCCCCCTTGTTCATAGCCTCCTCCCCACTTTCTCTCCAGGAAATCCCCTTCTCTCCTGCCAGAGGAATTTTAATGGAGAAGTAGGTGCTGAGTCTGGCTTGCTTCTTCAACACCAGGCCCAAGAGACATCTCAGAGTCTGAGCTTCTTGGGGCCCTGGGGGAGGGTCTGGGACTCTGCCAACCAGGGGGGAAGGTGCTATCTCACCCAGATAATGCTCTTGAAAACCACCAGAGCAGATGTCCAGCAGCTTGGTGGCTATGAACAATCCTGTGTGGGCATCAGAATCTGAGACTACAGAAAGACTGGGTGACTCTGTGGGAGTCTCTGGGCCCCCTGGGATCTGCCTGGTCTGGATAAGCTACAATAGTGTGTGGTTCTGGTCTCCTGTGTCTTTAAAGCAGTATATTTCCTCAAATCCGAATTTGACCCCTTCTGTGGCTGAGATGCCTTCTCCTCCTAGAGGCCTTGACTAGAAAGGTTCTCTCTCTGCTCTTCATCCATCCCTCAAGGAACAAGAAGGAAGATGGAGAAGGTCTCAGACACCTGCTTGCCCGTGTCTCTCTTCACTCTGGGGCCCCGCACTGTCCCCAGATAGCTAAGATAGACCAAATGACTCAGTGCCATTAACACTCTGAAACTTGATCGGCTTTGGGAGGGCGGCACTAAGGCTAATGCTCCCTGCAAATAGAAATATTAGCAACAGGGACAGCAGCTGGCCTCTGGGTCTTCACAGAGGCACTACCTTTTGGGGGTGAAGAAGCCTTCATGGACCCTTTATACAGCCTACTTTTTTTCCCCCATTAGGGTCAGGGTAGAACATGGGACAAGAAGGCCTCCCCCCTCTAGAGAGCCTGGAACCAGGTTTGAGGAATTAGACCATGATCTTTCATTGCTTCAGAGATTAAGATTAGGAAGAAGTAAGGATGGATAGCTTCTAGCATTGGGAGCTTGGCTTCATCTCTGGACCACAAGAAGCTGCTCCCTGATGGTAGGGGGTGGGGCTGGACCATTCAGGGAAGTCTTTGACCTCCTTCTTGCTGCTGAGGAACCTGAACCTTTCACAAGGCAAGACGCATTAGCATGTGGCTTGTGCGTGTTAGTGTGAGATTGTGGGGAGGGGAGGATAGCGGCCTGCGTGGCCACGGCCTCTGTATTCCCGTTACATCTAGTCTGTGAGAAAGAGGCAAGGAGTAGCTTTACCAGTGATCTCTTGGATGTGGACAGGCTGGTCCAGCACAGCTGGAGGGCCTGCTCCTGCAGAGCTCACTGCAGTCACACGCAGGAATAACTTGTCTCCCAGGGCCAGGTTTCGAACCGTCTGCTGGGTCACCATCACGGGCCGGGGATTCACAGGCACCCATTCTGAGGCTAAGGGCAGCGAAGAATGGCTGTTAGTGATGTGGCAGGGGGACCCTTCTCAAGCAGGCTTTCCTTCTCAAGGGTGATGTAGAGAAGCTGACCGCACTCTTGGGCTATAGCCTCTCCCGTTTCTTTCTCTGACTTTGCGACACCAAAGACATCTAGTGCTAGAGCTCTGGGATCGAGGCCAGAGATACGGATGCAGAAGGCCGGAGAAGGCTGGGCACATTCATCGAGTCACACACAGCAAGGTGGGGCAGAGACAGAGGCCAGGTTGAATGTGGCTGTCAGAGTGGGAGACTACTTTCCCTAGCTGCCTCACTGTCTCTTACTTTACAGTCCCCTCCTCTGGATCTTCCCCACTTTGTGCCTCCTGGGATAACTCCCACTGTAAAAGGTCCTCTGAGATTTAGTTCCTCCTTCCCTTCTTATCAGATCTTTGTCTCCCCCTCCTTCTAATATTCATAGGCTGCCTGAACCTGGAGGATGGGAGGTGTTCTGAGGTTATTGGACATCTCTGTGCCTTCAGAAGTCCTAAGGAGCAGCAGGTGGTAGCCTGGCAGTTAAGACCACTGCTTAGCCCTTCTCCCTTTGTACGTCCCAGACTGACCCATTGCAGGGACTGTGCTCCTCCCTGCTGCCCCATCCAGTCCCCACTCAGCCCTGTACTCACCTCCCTCTCGACAGAACTCCAACACATAGCCTTGAAGTCCCAGCTTCCCCAGCTTCTCAGGGGGCTCCCAGCTCACAGTCAAGGAGCTGTGGCTCACATCCTCCAAGGTCAGCCGCAGTGGGGCACTGGGGACATCTGGAGGAGGGGGGAAGCTAGGGTGAGTGGAAGAGCCCCTCCCTGCATTCCTGCCTCCCTTCTCTACCTTCCCCACTTCTCAGTCACCTTCGCTTAGAGGTTCAGGCTTAGTGGTGGCAGGCATGGCAGAAGCTGCAGGGGCTGCATCCTGTGGCTTCTGTGGCTCTGGAACCTGTTCTTGCCCTGTGGACTCTGATGCTGCCACCTCTCCAGAAGGCTCTGTAGTGGGCGCCTTGGCAGTCTCAGGCTCTGTCTCCTCTGGAGTAGAGACAGAAGCCTCAGAGGTAGCTTTTCCTGTCATTTCTGAGCTGGTGTGGGGGGGGCGGGGGAGGGGGTCAAGCTGGAGTGTTTAAGGGTCAGCAGTAGGTCTGGGCCTCCAGGCTAGGTCCACGCTTATAAAGGCAGGGGCTGCTCCACCCCCGGGCAAACCATTCCCAGCTGTGGGGTCAGGTCAGGCAGGGGGACAGGGGGGGCAGGGAGCACCCAGGCCAGGAATAGCTCTGAGGGAGGAACCGCAAGGGCCCCTTGAGAAGCATACTACCTTGCCATCACCCCAGCTAGACCTCACAGCCAGGGTGCCAGTGCCCAGATCAGGGAGGGCATAGATAGATGAGCTGACACATCTCTGGGGCCACAGGGACTGGGTAATGAGACCTGCCTTCTGGAAAGGAAGATCAAGTCAGTTCCATGAATCTGGTCTTCTCAGAGACCCCCTAGGGCCCGAATCTCCTCAGAGCAGAGCCTGGAATTACTTGAAGCAGCCTTCCCTGTGGGCACTGCCTCTTCTGCCTTCGCCGTCTTTCTTGGTCCCCACAGTCTCTGGGGACTCCTACTTGTACGATGTGAGGCTAAGGACCCCACAGAGGTGAGACTTGAGATGTCGGAGGTGAGGCTGGCCAGAGGCAGGTGCTCCAGCATGATTCCTGGGAAAGGTGACTGTGGTGATCAGTCTTCAGCTGTTATAACATCGCACCATAGGGTCTGTGAATTATAAACAATAGAGGCAATCTTTCTCAAGGCTCTAGAGGTTGAGAAGTCGAAGACCATGTCCCCAGCATCCCCTGAAGAGCCTTGTGCTGAGTCAGAATACAGAGAATGGGCAAATCAGACAGAGGAAAATGGACGAAACACATGCTTTTTATCCAGTTCCCACTCTGGAGATAACTAACCCACTCCCTTAATGATAGTAACCGATTCACAAGGGAAGTGCCCATGGCATAATTACTTTTTAAAAGCTGCCTCCCCATCTTAATACTTTTAATGACAACTAGAGGAGTTTTAAAGGGAACATTCAAGTCATAGCAGGGACCAACAAAGTCCTCTGGTTTCTGTTTCTATGGGAAGGCTGGAAGAAGGCCTCTGTTCACACTAATGCCCAGACCTCGGTTCCTCTTTGACTACGGAGAACTCTCACCTTTGAGGATAAGACAGGCAGACCTGAATCTCCTGACCTCTTCAAAAAGGGACCTGGGCACAGACTCTTCTAATGTGGGAAGAATGGCAGGTTCAGACAAATTCCTAGTCTCTGATTCATTTATTCAAGATGTTAAGATTGGTAATAATTTGAAATCCAGAAAATACCATGTGTCAGGGAGAAGGAGGTGCAGTCAAAATTTTCTCTGTGGGTGGGAGTGTGGATCAGAGAAAAGACTTTGAAAAAATGAGGCAGGGAGTTGGTGGCATAGACAATGTGTCTGATCAGTGGCTCTGAGCACCAACCTTCTGGGCTCTCAGGACACACGATGAGACTATTTGCAGAAGTATCACTTGTAACAGCACAAGTCTGGGGAAAGGGCCGTCTTTGAACACCAGGTGGATAAACAACTGGAATGTTCGTTCATATAGTTCTAAAGCAGAAGCCAGATGACGATGAAGAGTCATGGCTGATGTCACAGAGCCGGGGACAAATCACTGAAACATGATGATCATCCTGTCCTTGAAATCCAAATCCAGACCCACATGGATTCTCATCTTCAAAGTACATCCATAGGTGGCAAGCCAAACAAAAGGAAGCGAGGCCAAGGGTAGCCTAAAATGACAGCCTCCGGGTGAGGGGACAAGATGGCTATGACTATAGAGGTTCCAAAGTCTCACTACACGGAAACTCTTAAATGAGACGAATATCACTCACGGCCTCTTAAGCAGGCATGGGACACCTCACAGTTCAGGAATAAATGGACATGTCATTTATTTAAGGCTGTCAACAGCATTCTGGCTCTCCCCTTTTCCTGCGGACAGGGACACAGCAGTGTAGGTACCTCTCAAGTCCTCAGTGGTGGGCCTGAGGAGCCTGTGTCCAACTCTGCTTGGGTGTCCACATCGTCTGTGAGGTGACTCAGTGTTGTGCTGGGTAGGGAGAACCGATCTCCACCCTGGCTTCTGACACTGCAGCTATAAGCGAATGTGACTAACTCGGCAGGAGCCTGAGTCAGCCAGGAGAACCTGTCCCAAACTGGGAGAAGGGGGGCCTCAAGGGACAAGGGCACTTCCTAGGAGAGCTCACAGCTCTGGGTTTTTAAAAGATCTTGTGTGGTAGGGTGGACAGTGGACAGGAGTTAGAGGCTGCTTGTCCCACCAGCCAGCATGAGATGCCAGGTATCCTCTACCCCTAAGACCCTGGCCAAGCACCTTGCCTTTAGCTGAGTGGCAACCTTGGAATCAGCTGCAGGTGACTGGCTCCAGCTGGTTCAGATTTCAGAGCAGCAGATTGGCATTGGCTTCTTTCTGCCTCAAAGCAGAGTCATCAACATCAAACTAATGGTTATCCCAAGTCAGATAATCCGAACATCAAGGGACCACAGATAAAATCCCAATTGGTTTAGATGACATCTTATCCAGGTTCCTTAATAAAGCCAGTCTGGGCTCCTGAAAATTCACAGGATCCTGGTGGGAGCATCTCCTCTACACAAAGACTGGAAAATGGCTGCTCTATGGGCCAATACAATTCTATCTTCCTCCCCTACTGTCCCAGGCCTGCCCGGGCAGGGAAGTTTTGATCTTTTTATGAGCCCAGGTAATAGTGTGAAGGGAGTGGGCTCAGGGGCAGAGCACAGGGACTGTAGACAGTTTTCAGTCCAGCAGTTGGGTGGATGGCCTCTAAGATAACAAGCTATGGGTTACTTAGGAGTAGGAGGCTAGAGCCAGCTCTCCAGGGTCTGGAGACCCCGGCCCTGGATAGCATGAAAAGGCACTGCCTTCCTTTCTGGCCCTAATCTTCTGGGTTCCTGAGCTTCCTAATCCATCCTGTGGCCAACTCTCACCACCCTTTAGGGAAGTGCTTCTCAACCTTCCTAATACTGTGACCTTTTAATACTGTTCCTTATGTTGTGGTGACTCCCAACCAGAAAATTATTTCATTGCTTCTTCCTAAGTGTAATTTTGCTACTGTTATGAATCATAATATAAACATCTGATGTGCAAGATATCTGATATGCCACCAAAGGGGTCAAGACCCAGAGTCTGAAGAGTACTGTTCTAAAGGGTCAGAGAGTTAAAAGTCTTCTTTCCAGGCCCTGCAATAGTCTCTTTCCATAAGAAACTTAATTTGGAAGTCTGCAGGACAATGGCTTGCTGTCAGCCATGCTTAGGTAAAGCCTTAGCCTCTCCCTCAGCCCCAGGATCCCACCTCTCATTGAGGCTCCTCCGGGTCCAGCACATTGAATCAAGACCTCACTCACTACTGTAAGCTCTGATTCCCAAGTCTCAGAGAGAGAAATCCAGAAAAAATAGGTGAGTGCCACGGTCCCACGTACCCACAGAGACGGCTGGCCGCAAGTATAGCACACTGTTAAGCTCTGGCGCTTTATTGAGCAGCTGTGGAATTAGGGAAAGGGAAGTGGGACAGAGAGACGATTAAGTTCCTCAGGGAAGGTTTCAAGTTGGGCTTTACAGAGAGTATAATTAGTATGGTCCCTGAATCCTGTAAGATGTTTGCCTACTTGATGCTATAACTTTGCCAAAATGGTGTCCTTTGGTCAGGCGAGCTGGGGGAAAGGGAATGTGCATTGGTTAACAGGGTTGTCCTGAGCACGTATCTACCTTACACGGTGACTCTCACAATCCCACCGTCCTACGGTCCCTGTTCACCAGAGCTGAGTCTGCTGTGGCCCCCTACACAGGTACCAAGGGAGGGAAACTGAATCCCAGTTGGGGGACTTAACATTGCAAGTGATCAAACTCCTGGCCAGAGGGTGGGGGTATCGTGTGGGAAAGGGGGAGCTAAGCCAGGGCATCCTTGATGGCGTTGGTGAGCGGGAAGCGTACTTTCTGCTGACAGAAGGAGCCTCGAAAATCATCCAAATCCAGTGCCCACACCATAGCTCCTGCCAGTTGCTTGTTCTTCAAGTACTTAACCTGGTGGAGGAGATGGGGTGAGGTGTTGGGAAACTGTGTTCTGGGGCACTTCCCCAGACGTTCCCACACACCCAAGGTCAACCCTTGGGCAGGAGACCAACTGCAGCTGCTTGGAACACCGCAACCTCTCCTTTGTGTGTGGGGCGTGGGTTCGGCGAAGCCTACCTTGTTTTTGACGCTCTCCGGGTCATCATACCCCACCCACTGGTTGCCCTTGGTAGCGAAGGGAACCTGCTGGCCGGGGATTCTTTGTACTTCAGCTCCTCTGAGGAAGTCGCATATCTGAAAGAACAGGGCAGGGTAGTGTAGCAGGCTTGTCAGGCCAGTACAAGTCATCCTTCAGTCTGTAGCCTTCCTCTCCAGAGGCTCCAGGCTGCTGGCTTCATGTAAATTTATGAAAAACAGATGCAAATGTCTCAGAGTTCAGCTGCTATTGCCTGAGGGCTTTAGAGATCTGATAGCCTCCTCCATCTTATACAAGGACTTGAAGAAGGTGAGCAGACAGCCAGGGCTGGCCCTAGACCAGGCAGAGGTGTAGATAAACTGTCCACAGAGATTCTTGACCATTGCTTTTCCTAGACTGGAATGAAGACCCAAGATCTGAGGCCAGAGGAATGTTCTAGCAGTCTGCTGAAGGCTTTCAGTAATAAAAGTCTTAAACTCCCCATTTTCTTTTCCTAAGTCATGCTGGAGCGAATGAGCTTGGTTTTTTTATTCCCAAAGGAGAAAGTGTGTGTGGTAAGGGAGGCCTGTCTTTCCTGGGGTAGCCTGTGAAGCAACGTCATTACCTCATAGTAGGCAAGGGTCCCTTCCTCCTTGGTGAACTGGCCTGGTAATCCTGGCCCTGAGATTGGAGCTCCCACTCGATTCTCAGAAGATGCCAGAGTGAAGCTCTTCCCAAAGGTGGGGATGCCCATCACGAGCTTGCTGGCCGGGGCTCCCAGTCTCAGTATGTACCCCACAGCATAGTCCTGGGGTAGGGCAGAGACAGCAGAGCAGTTAGCTGGGCCGGGTGGTGAGCACATAGGGTTGTACAGTTCATACTGCTGCTGAGACAGAGGCAGCGACAGTTACATGGTGCAACTGGGATTCCCCATCCCTCTGGGAACTGATAATGCCAGTTAAAAATGAGTTTTAAAGGTTTGTTCTTGAAAAGTTCCTTGTAGGCACAAGAAGGGATTATTAATGTGTGTCAGACACAGAAATTGGCTGGCTGGCTCAGGTTGCACTGCGAGTAAATGACAGGCTAAAGCTAGGCTCCCACCTCTAAGTCCCCAGCCTCTCTTCATTCTGCCCACCTCTATA